TTCTTCCTCACTTGAGTGATCCCACCAGGATCTAACTTCGCCTAGAACGGCTGCCCACGAGCAAAAACCCCGATGTAGGAGAGCGGATCAAGATTCTCCTACCTCGCCATGCTGCGATGTCACCGGAAGTCCCAGACCAAAAGGTTTTATGAACATTAAGTAGCTTTAAATTCCTCAGAGCTAAATTTGTATCTTATTCCAAAGTATAATTCACTTTGTTTTCTTTTGATTTACATGAACACAGACATAGTAACTAATTTGACCATCCATTGTTTGGCACAATCTCCTCCAATCCAGCATCTTAAAATACTGTTATTACTCATCCTGGAAGGAACTCTTGGGCCAAAGGGTGAGTTAGGGTGATGTGTAAGCCTGAGGTATAAATAAAACGGATTGCTACAACTGGCAAACACACAGATCAAATGCAACAAAAACATTGGTAAGGAGTGGTAACCATCAATAGCTTTAGGCTTTCTTGTGGCACAGGAACACACCCTTCCTCACCTAACTTGGATAAGATTATCAGCAGCCAAGATAACACAAAGAAAAAAGAATGGGTCCTATAGACAAATGAAACATACAAAAAGCTTTTGTGAAGAAACTGAACAATTAATCTGGCATACAGAGCTTTAACTGATGTTTCACGATACTGACAGAATCAGGACCATACAATATAAAGTCAAGAAATCCTTAAGTCTTTGTTAGATAAACAACCTTCTGGAAAATGGCCATTTCTTTATAGATGAAGGGTTTTGTTTCATTTTGTTTAAACAAAAATTGAACAGACCTTGCACACACCGGAAGCCTATTCTACGTATGTCTATCAAATCCAGGAACGTATCACTTGATAAAACATATTTACCATTTTGGAAAGAAAAGAGTGTTATCTCAGATTTTCTAACCACAAATATCTGGCTAATCATTTAGTCAGATGCGTACAATAACTAAACGTGAATTGTATAAACAATTAAATAAAGTTTTAAAAACTTATTGAAATCAGCTCAGCTCTTTTGATACGCAAAACAGTTTCTCTTTTTAAATGTATTTAAACGTTCCTTGTTGTGAATGACTCAGATAGAACTGGAAAGCATTTACTTGACAAGTCTTGATGTAGAAATGGGATGTAAAAATGTTACCAATGTTTTGCTGGGATGATCTTACTTTGCAATCTTATTCTATTTTAGTCTGGTCTCATCTGTAATAGACTTACAACTAGCAAAAAAAATGCCCTTTGTCACATAATGATTGAAAAGAAGCTGCGATGGTCATAAGGGCAAGGACTAATCATAAATCACTTTTTTGTATTGCAACTTTGAACAGGCATTAAATGAATGGCCGTAAGTTTAGGACTACCTATATACATCACCTGCTGTTACTGTGGTGCCCCAGGTTGTTTATAAATTGATTAGATAAATACATTTAACCTGGTTTACAACATAATCCGATACGCACTCAATCACCCTCCCATACATGTTCAAGCAGGATTTGGTTCCATTTAAACGCATACAGGATTGCAGCCTTAAGACATGTTTATTAAACTAGAGCACATAGTTTTCTCTATAGAAAAAAAGCTAAAGAAACAGATCTCTTGTAAATGCTATGTACAGTATCTTTGTTATACGAAGCGGAAATAATTAAAAAAAAAAAAGAGTATGGCAAGAACTGCCCCGCTCAGTGGTTGCTAATCTCAGTTGCCCTCGTGGTGTGGCCACCATTTAGAAGAGCCACGTCATCCAAAGTGGGTTGCTACGGAGAACAAGCAGTGAACTTCATTTCCATTGGTTTCTGTGACTTGGTGGGGACAAAAACTCCAGAGACAAGCTCTAAAATTCACAGACGGGCATGGCACATTTAAAAAAAATATCACCGATCTTCTTTTTTGCCCTTTCTCTCCAAACTCGCTACAAGCAAGCAACCCACAGACAGCCACTGGTTGCGAGGTAGAGTTAATGCCCTCCTGTGTCAAAGGAAGACACCGGGAGAATTAGCCTCATCCTCCCGAGGAAGGGCCTCTGCGTCCTGGTCTCCACGAACAAGTCCCACCACCTTCTCCAGACAAGGGGTTATAACCTGGGAGAAGAAAGAGGAACTTCATCACATGGTTTTCCACAGGGGAAAGAGTAAGGAAGGGCATACATTAAAGCAAAGTCAAAGGGAAATCTGATTTCTTCAAAACCAGTATAATAGCAACAAAACAAAACTTTCTTATAGAAATAATCCTGTGTACGTAGAGAAATCTGGCATCTGTGTGCTAAGAAACCTTACACAAGTCAAAAGAATACTGACTGCATGAAAACCTGGATTTACACCAAGGGCCCGCAAACTTTTGCAAGAAATAGAAGCTATCTACTACTTAATAATAATAATGTTTTCTCCTTCACTTCCTGCCAGTACTGAATGTCTGTATGTCTAACATGTTTGATCTGTTTTTGTCCTCTTTTGGCAAGTTTTATTAGTAAATTCTTTGGCCAGTTGATTTTAATGGCAAGTGGAAATCCCACATCAGATAGGAATAGTGCTATTTAGAAAGATACGCACCAGCTAATTCTATTGTAACATGGTGTAATGGAAAAAGTTTGATCTACTGAATTCTTCCTTCAAAGGACTGAGATATATAAATAAACATAGACCATGTATGCAGGATTTACTCATGCCTGTTTTAAAAATACAATCAGAGATATACAGTAAGAAAGCAATTTTTATCAACAAGAAATGTTGTCAATAATATCAACTATAGGATCTAAGAAGATACAGCCCTGAGGGAAAACCAGATCATTCAAAGGTAGATAACAGAGAAAAATGTGAATATATGAAGTAGTCTTTATTTAGATTAGACAAGTGGTCTAGATAATCTAGTTTTATCTACTTTGATTTTGATTTTGCAAATCTCAAGGCACAAAAAGCGGCAGCTTCTGGCTATGCTACTTATGATGTTTCCATTTGGAATCACCAAGGGTTTAATTTGGATTTTCTGCAGGCATTTCATCAATGCTCTGAATATTTTAAAAAAAATGTTTAGCATGCACTGGCTCCATTCCGATAACACAATCGTATTGATTTGTGCAGGATGATTAAGCAGCTGCAAAGATCTTTAAGACAGAACAATCTTATTGTACCTTTACACTGTAAAGATTTTACTTTCTATGTAAGGGAGCAAATGCAAATGCACCCAGTGCTAATCGCATGCCCAGAATCACCTAAGAGTAAGGCAAGCTCTGTGAAAGAGGTCAACAGCATGTATTAAAACCAAAAGGGACATTACGAAGCACCAACGTTCTTCAACAAGATACACAAAAGATTTGGAACCTGTGGTGCTCCAGGTGTTGATTAACCAAACTTCCCAGCATCCCTTGTCATCATCTTCATTGCTGACCAAGATTTGAAAGTGTGATTGAAGTAGGGGACACACAAAACTCAGTGGCCCAATAACAAAATAGTTTTGCAATAATGTTTTGCAATAATGAAAAATAAATAAACAAACTGACTCGGGAACAATAGAAATCAGCACACTACGGAAGAAAAACAAAAATTTTCTGAAAGGACAACCGGATCGTAAGAGTTTTATATTCAGGTTTCCAAGCCATGAGAGGCAGAAAGCGATGGAAGGAAGCAAGGAGTACCATGTTGAAAAGTGCTCCACCTTCCAAGATCACTTATTATTAGACAGATGGACAGACAGACTGTTGTGGTCCACTGGTGGCTTACGGAGGTGGCAGCAGAATTGGACAGCGTGGAGGAACATGGGCCAGTCCTGGAGTCTGGGGAGGGCTCGGACAAGGGATCTGCGTCTGACACAGAGATGGGGCCAGGGTCATCTGAGAGTTATGTGCTGACTCCGGAGCTTCCAGAATCTGACATCAGTGAGGCAGAAGAACAGTGGGAGCCTGTTCCCAGTGTGCGCTTGTGCAGAGCTGCCAGAAGGCAGGAACGGTTAAGACAAAAGGGACTACTCAGGAGTAAGGCTTGGAGATGATTGGCCCCTCCCATAAGACATAAAGGAGGAGCAAAGGGACATGAGCCTTTGCAGGAAGCAACTTTGTTTGTTCTGGTCAGTTTAAATTCTGAAGTACCATGTTGACTTTATGCTCCGTTTGGCCTTGTACAGCTAATTGGCAATTTAGTCGTTGGCAGCATTTCAAGGGAGATAAAGGTGGGTGCTTATCAGCCTTATCCCGAAAGACTGTGGCTGACTTCTGTTGGACTATTCATAAACTGTTTGGGACTCAATACGGGCTGTGAATGCATATAATTCACAGCCATTGAAATAAAAACAAGGCTTTTGGGAACAGCATGTGCTTGTTACTGTCTCAGGAAGCCTTGGTCAGAACTCAAACAGACAGACAGATACAATTCTTAATTCACAACTTACCCTCCCCTCGTAAGGGCTTTCTGTTAGGTTTTGGCTTTCCAACAGTTGTCGATGTAGAGGCTTCGGGCATGGGTTCCTGAAATTTAGTGAAAAATTCATTCAGAGACCGGATTCCAGCTCATGTTTTCAAATCTGAACAAGGCTCTCACTCAGTAGAAAACACCAACCTGATTGTGCTGGAGAGTCGCCTTGTAGCTTTTTCCTTCCTGCATGCTTTCCCACATGGCTATCTTTTGCTTTCTCTTCTCCTCTTCGAGCTGAAGAGCAAAATGTACACAAAGAAAATTAGAATGACATTATCTTTCGACAGAATCACCGAATTTGGGCACCCCTCCAGGCTGAACACAGGCTTCCCAAAGCAAAATAGGAAGACAGCAGAAAGAAGGCAAGTGGTTGATATCTCTCTGTGGCTCTCTACATTTGGTCTTCTCAAATATGCTAGACTTCAATTCCGATAATGCCAGCCAGCATAACTAAAGGGAATTACTGGAGCTGAAGTCCAACATTATCTTGAGAACACGAAGTTGGGGAGTATGGCATCCAATGACCAGGCTTGATGTAGGCAGACCGAAATGAAAAGAACTAGTGTCAGGAGACAAGAGTTAAATATAACAGCCTCTGTGTAGAAGTATACATATTCCTTTTTATGCACAAGAATTGCTTTTTCAAGGAAAAGCTTTCAAATGAGGCAGGCAAAGCAGCTTGAAAGGTCATTAAAATGTTCTACCAAATTAATGTTTTGCAGATGTAAAAAGAATTCTTTCAGTGGTTAGTCCTAGAGAAATTCTTAAGCCAGAATAGATTGTAGTGCATCTTTTCCCTTCAATATGAAGAGGAAGGAATAAGTAAACCAGTTTATACTGATGTCACGGGAACGGTTATTTTCATGGCCAGATAACTAAACAAGCTATTTGGAATGGAAGAGGACAATTTGGAGATTGCTGAGATAACATGGTGAACTCACCAGAGTGCGCAATTCACTTTTCATTTTTTCCCCCCTCCCTTAGCAGATTTAGATTTATAGCTAGCTAATTTTCTCCAGGTTTGCAAACGTTACCTATTCCAGCTCTGTAGAAAGGAAAGAATATACACTGTGCAATGGTCTCAAGCCCCCAATGTTTTCTGAATATTTCAAGCCAAGCAATCCAAACTGACCAGGTTTACATATTACATTAAATCATGGTTTATTTTACCAACTCTGTCGGACAAACCAGAGCAACCTGGTTCAAAAACCACACTAAGCCGCTATGTCTATTTTACAATCTACCATCACATACTACATCAGACCATCAAGCAAATAAACCATCGCATGGTATAGTCATTTTTCTTTTAACAACCCCATAATCCCTTGCGGGGTGGAGTCTGGGCAACTGAATGGAGCTAGCAGAGTGTTTACTGGCCGGATGCCCTTCCTGTCACCAATGCAGATTTTTGTTAGATATATTCTCATCATGCCCAGAGAGAGAAATATCTGCCTCTACCTAGGATCGAGCTCACAACCTCCCGATTGTGAGGCAAGAACTCTAGGCCACCACACCACTCCAATTGGTTTAATGCATGGTTTAGTGCAACATGTGAATTCAATTCATCGCAGTGAGTGCCTTGTGCCCAAGCACAACAGAATAGATATTCCAGTGCCAAATTCTAAATTAGCTCTTTAGAGCAGTGGTCGCCAATCAGTGGGCCATGAGAAAATTTTGGTGGTCCGCAGAGAAATGTCACCCCAGAGCACCCCCCAAAGCAATTAATCCAAGCTGCACGATTATTTATATAAATATTTATAATATTTACATATAAGCTATGCCCAGACAATCACATGACCACCAAGCCACACCCACTCACAGAACTGGTTGTTAAGAAATTTGAATCCCACCCCTGCCTTTGTGTGAGTGTGTGTGTGAGAGAGAGAGAGAGTGAGAGAGAGAAAGAGAGGTTACATCAGATCTCTCTCTCTCTCCCTCCCTCCCTCCCATCCTCCCTCTCCCTCCAACGTCAGCAAGCCACTGTCAGTCAAAATTCATATTAGTGGCCCTGGGATTTAAAATTATGAGTTTGGTGGTCCCTGAGGTCCAAAAGGTTGGCGACCGCTGCTTTAGAGCAAAAGATCCCAAATTGTATCTTGAAATTCTATTTACGGTACTGAATTTTTCATTTTTTAGATGTAGGCTCACAATCAAATGTCTGTATAGTTTCCTCATGCTTTTGAATAAAAAGCACACTTATAGCTACCAGACTTATAATGTTGCTGGAGGCAGTAGTTCTATGAACAGCTGCTCTAGTATATGAAACAAACCCATCTGGCTGAGACATACCATCTTCTGTTTTTCCTTGAACTTCTCTGCTTGGGCATTCAATTGTTCCTGCATCTTCATTCGGGCAGCTAGAAGAGCTTCCTGTTGTTTAACCACATCGTCGGGTTCTGAATCAATCCCAAGAGAGAGTTAGCAAAAGCTTAAAATCTGCTAGAAATCATACATTTGCACTAGCCTCATAGTTTTCACCTCTTTCAATACCGAAACTTGCCTTAATTTAATTTGCCACTGCTGCTTAGAGCTAATCTTTTCTATTTCGCTTAATATTTCAGCAGAATAATTCAACCTGGAAGTTGTAACCATTCCTGTTAACCTTAACCCTCTTAGACAAATATGCTAAACCAAAACAGGAAGAACTGAATAAAGCTAAGTTTCTGGAATAAAACATGATTAATCTGAAAGTCTCTCTTATCAAAATGGAAGGGATAAGCAGGATTGGCTGACCCAGAACATTGTAAGTTTACTTCTACACATAGACCACTTTCCTGAGGCAATCCCAGCAAACATACATTCCACAAAAAGGGATGCATTCCTTCTTCCAATCATCAGAGAAACATAGAGTTTGGAATTTCAAGAACCAGAGATTCTTGAATTATATTTTGCTTTTCACAAATCACAGAAGAGGGATGCCTCATCCTTAGTTCTGTGAAGACGATGATTACATTATCTATTAGCAGCAGTGGCAGATAAATAGCACAATATGAATAAGCAATTGCTGCAATATTGTTGCAGCTTTGCAGAATAAATTAAGTAAAATGGAGATTCTTGCTCCAAGGAGATTCTACATGGAGACATACAGGGAAGGAGTTTATATCATCTTCCCAGTTTTCATAGACACCTAATCTGTTTAAGAGAACCTCATCTTGATACTAATTAATACATTTTTGTAGCACTGGCAATAATAAATGTACCCCGATTGAATGCATAAAGATCTAAAGTTGTGCAGACATAGAAAGAACAGTTAGTCGAGAGCTTTATTCATACACACCGATAGCTGTTATGGGCACACTGGATCTAGAGCCTTGAAGATTTTTTGAGAGTTTTTGTACAAGCAGATAAACGCCAATAAGGGCAAAGAGGATGTACCAGCCATAGTCTGAGAACAGTGAATTTACTGGAAGAGAAAACAAGGCAATAATTTAATTTGAATATAGACAAGAACAATTTGGATTTGGTCTGTTGCAACAGTAACATGGCAGTGAAAAAAAATACAGCTGTGTTAAGGTAACAAAGGACCAAATAAAATTACAAAAACATTATTCCACACATCCATGGTGTCAGATATCTAGTAATTTATCATGTTCAGCCAGTTGCTCCCATTGCTAGTACAGCATAGCAGATTTCGGCTCATCTTTTGCAGGTGCAGCAGACTTTCAATTCAACAAAAGATTCTTTTTGGTATTTACAAAGAACAATCTTATTTGGATATTGTTTCATTTTGTAAATGAAACTATGAAACTATCATCTCAGTGGTAACTATTTCTGTAACCATTCCTTTTCCACTTTTCAAAAAAATATTTTCTTCAAAGAGCTAAACATACATACATACAAGAAAATGAAGGTTACAATTAAAAATGATTCATCAAAATGAAACACAAGTAGCAAAAACTCCAAGAGTCCAAAGCAGGCAGGCAGATTGAGTTGCTCGCAGAATCACAGATTCATTCAGAGATCTACCCTTCTGCCATCGGCTACCTGAGTTTGCACTTAATAATAGAAGCTTCAGTCCTAAGGACTTTTAAGCAGAGCCGAAGATCTAAAGATTAGCTAGAAAGCAAGAAATCCAACCATTTCCTGCTTCCTAGCTTAATCTAAATCTCCCAGCACAGCAGAACAGATGATGGTCGGGGGGGGGAGGAGGAAAAATAGCAACTTAGCAGGCAAGTTTGCCAGGTAAAGAGTGAGTGGGCAGGGAAGGTTCCCACGGGCCATGTGGGTGGCACAGCCTTGTGTTCCCATGCAGCCTGGATTAATTGCTTTGTGGGGGGTGCTCGGGGGGTGACATTTCTCTGAGGACCACCAAAATTTTCTCGAGGACCAGTGGGCTGCAGCTCACCAATTGGCAACCACTGATCTAGACCAACCCCCTGCTCAAGCAGAAAACCCTATACCCATTCCTCACAAATGGCTATCTTTAGTCTTTTCTTAAAAGCTTCCAGTGATGGAGCACCCACAACTTCCAGTTGTTCCACTGATTAATTGTTCTCACTGTCACTTTTTTTTTTAACTTGAACATATCATCTTCCATTAAAACAGTGAGCCGTCTGGGTCTCTGTGCAATTACAATCAAAGTGTACAGTATTCATTACACTGCTGATAAGTCTCTAATCTAACAATATTAATAATCAGCTTTATAACTCTATTCATTTCTCCCTCTCAAGATATCTTCTAATGAGAATATAGTATTATATTGATTATGCTCACTTTAGCCATCATATATAATAGTCATCATATTGTTTACATCGTATTGTTTACATCTCTATCTTAACATATATTCTTTATTTCACAAATCTATAACTCATGTCTATTTTTATTATCCAACCATCCATAAAGTAACTCCTGTGTCCGATAATATTCAGTTGGTTTTCTCTATTCACCCGAACCTTTTTTTTTGTAGAGTGGATCCTGTTCAGCCATTGAGAGAGCAGGATTCCAGTTTTAATCCTCCTCCCTCTTATTTATATCCTTTTTTAAATAAATAATATTTCCTAGTATGTTTTGATTGCTTATTGTACCCTATGACTATCATTAAGTGTTGTAAACTTATGATTCTCGACTCTTGAAGAATGTATCTTTTCTTTTATATACACTGAGAGCATTTGCACCAAGACAAATTCCTTGTGTGTCCAATCACATTTGGCCAATAAAGAATTCTATTCTATTCTATTCTATTCTAATTGTACCCTATGACTGTCATTAAGTGTTGCACCTTATGATTCTTGACTCTTGACGAATGTATCTTTTCTTTTTATGAATACTGAGAGCATTTACACCAAGACAAATTCCTTGTGTGTCCAATCACACTTGGCCAATAAAAGAATTTTAATCTAACCTATAATAAATATTTATTTATTTATATCCCTCCACTGTTGTTTTGACTCGTTTTGACCACGCTTTAACCTCTGCAAGCAAGACGGGCGTCCCCCTCCCAAGCCCTCCTCCGCTGCCTCCCTTTATGACGTTCGCTTCGAAAAGCTCGAAGCCCACGCAGAATGGGAAGGATGGGAACTGTAGTCCTCTCTGGAGGGACAGCCCCCCCCCCCCCGGCCCGGCCCCCGCCACAGCCCCGGCCGCCACACGTGCTAAAGGCGCAACCACGCAGCAGAGCTCTTCCCCCGTTTCGTGCCCGACCCCCCCCCCACAAAAAAAACAACCTTAGGAACGATATACTGCTCTTGAATATGGAGGCTCGATTTTTTAAAAAAAGCCTTAGATCCGGGAACTCCTCCCCAGGGAAGCCCCGAAGCGACACACACCCCCACAGATTCTCTCTCCCACCTGCTTGGAGGAAGAACTGGACGCCTTCCTGTCCCCCGGGAGGCCCCTGGGGGTCCGGAGCCACGTCACCCGCCATCCCGCCGAGAAGCCGGACCGTCTCAGACACATCCGGGTTCCTAGCCCCCACCCCCACCCCGCATACACCCTCTGACGGCCAGCCAATGGCGATGCCGTATCTCAGATCTCCGTCGCCCAATTGAGGGCGCTGGATAAGTTCGAGCCAATCCGGAGGCGAAGCGGAGGAGGCAGGAATAAGGTGTCGACCAATCAAGAGGAGAGGGAGGGCGCAAGGTTAAGAGATGACTCGGCTGAACGGGGAAAGTCCAGGGGGCGGGGCTGCTTGGGAGGCGGGGCGGGAAGGCAGGAATCTGAGGGGCGCTTTTGGGGGGGGGGGAGTTTGGCGTAGCTCGCTTTGCTGTGAAATTTAACAAAGTGGAGGAAGAGGACATTTATATTCGGTTTGCAAAAGTTGCACGCAGTACAGAGGACCCTGCTTATATAAGATGCAGCTCAATACCATGCACCAAAATGCATTTTGTTTTTTAGGCACATATGTAGATGCAAGCATACAAAAACACATTATACACACACACACCTGTATACATGTGTATGTATACACATGTGTATGTATACACAGAGAGAGAAAGAGAGAGAGAATCAGTCTTCGGCTTATGACCCCAATGGAGCAGTTGTTAAATGAATTTTGCCCCGTATTATGACCTGTCTTGCCTCAGTTGTTAAGTGAATCACTGTAGTTGTTAAGTTAGTAATCCGGTTGTTAAGTGAATCTGGTTGCAAAAGGGGATCATGTGACCCCGGGACGCTGCAACAGTCCTAAGTATGAGCCAGTTAAAATTCAAAATATGAATTTTGATCATGTGACCATGGGGATGCTGGAAAGGTCGTTAACTGGGAAAAACTTTTTTTTTCAGTACTGTTGTAACTTTGAACGGTCACTAAATGAACTGTTGTAAGCCAAGGGCTACCTGTATATGCAAATCTAAATAAGCCCAGTGTGGTTTTCGTGTTTTGAATGCCTCTATAACCGATCGTTCAGGATCGACCGAAAGCTTCTAAAAAGGGATTTCTAGGCTGTCTAGATTCAAAGCATCTTGGTCTCTTGGAACTCATTAGATTTTAACACCAAGATGTCTCTCAGACAGGATATTCACATTTCTGGGAATAATACAGGTGGTTCTGACAAATAGCAAGGAGCTTCAAGGACAGATATTTCAGTTCTTTCCTGGATGCTCTACCAGTCCCAAGAAGCAGATCAAAAGTTACTCTCATAACACCACTGACAAACAAACCCAAACATATAGATCTTGTTATTTGGTTTATCATGAGCCATGTAACAAGCTTTTAAAAGAAATCAGGAAAAAGTAAAATAGGTCTATTTCACCATTTGATAGATGTGGAGAATCAATTCTTCTTCTTCTTCTTTTTCTTCAGCGTTTGTCTCGCGCTCTGGCGAGGTCCGCTAATGTCCTTGAGTATTGCTTCCACGCCTGTCTGTCACGTATGTCGGGTCTGCCTTCGCGATCTCTAGATCGGCCTTGATCGTGTCCATCCAGCGTTGCTTAGGTCTACCACGCGGTCTCGCTCCTCCGACAGTCACCTTCATCGCAGATTTGATGATGGATTCTTCCTTAGTGCGACTCACATGGCCGGACCATCGTAGCCGGGACTGCCTCATGACCGTGGGGATGGGCACGACGTTGAACCGTCTACGCACTTCTTCGTTCCTGACGCGATCGAGTAGGGTGAGGCCTACCGACCATCGGAGCATTCGCATCTCCATTGTCTGGAGTCTGCTTTCAACTTCTTTGGTCGTCGGCCAGCACTCTGCGCCGTATATGGCCACGGGACGCACCACAGAGTTATAGATTTTCGCCTTCAGCCGCATCGGCATCTTCTTGTCACAGAGGACGCCCGTGACGGACTTCCATTTGCCCCACGCTGCGTTGATCCTGGCTGCCACCTCAGTTTGTAGTAGGCCTTCTTCCCCAAGAGTAGTTCCCAGGTACTTGAAGGTGGAGGCGCGCGGTAGCTCCTGCCCGTTCACGTGGATGGAGCCTGTCGTTTCGTTTTCAGTGGTCAGGTATTCGGACTTCTTTAGGTTCAGCCGGAGCCCGAACTGCTCGAGGCGGTCGTGCCACTGTTGGACTAGGTGCTCGAGTTCAGCCTTGCGCAGGTTGGCCAGGAACACATCATCGGCGTAGAGCAGCGTCCATGGGGCGGGCGTGTACAGATCGTGTGTAATTGTATCCATCACCAGAATGAACAGCAGTGGTGAGAGAGCAGAGCCCTGGTGTACGCCGACGGTGATATTGAACTCCTCTGATATCCCAGCTGCCGCTTTTACACGGCTTTTGTGACATCTGTATAGGAGTTGGACCCATTGTACGAGCAGCTCGGGCACGCCATGATCTCGCAGTGCGTACCAGATGAGATCGTGCGGGACTCGGTCGAAGGCCTTTTCCAAGTCCAAGAAGGCGGTGTGGAGCGCGATTTTCTTCTCTCTGTGAGCCTCCATCAGCATCCGCACACCGAAGATGGCGTCGGTGGTGCCGCAGTTCTTGATGAATCCAGCCTGGTTGACGCTGATGTCGACGATGTCCCGAATGCGCTTATCGAGGACGCGTTCGAAGATCTTCATAGTGTGTGACAGTAACCTGACCGGTCTGTAGTTGGAGCAGTCCGCTGGGCTGCCCTTTCCCTTCCAGAGAATCAATATGGCCATGATTCTGTTTTATCTGCATCTGCATGGCACTACAACTCCGGCAAATTGGGTGTCACAATCTACTTATTTTACTATCGGTGTGTTAACCCAGCCAACTAACATAATTTTCACCAGATATATACTAAATTTGCATTGCGTGGTAACTAACATGCTTTTCTTTTTGCTCAGTTCATTTTTCATTTTGCTATTTTCAATCAGCACTAAATGAAATCTCATTTGAACACAACTCCTTAAATCTGATGAAGCAAATTCCCAAACAGAGCTTGCCACTTGTGACAAAACAGCAGAATAAAGCAGAACCTAAGAGCAAATATAACTGGGAGACCCTAACAGTTCTAGTACTGCTAGTTTATTAGGTTGTTAATCTAGTTGGACATAGTAAAAAGTTCAAACGGTGGTGTGATCCGTTTAAAAAAAAAAAGGCAGCTTTATTTAACTGTAAATGTACGGTATAAAATTTACAAACTACAATTGGTATATTTTCATAGCTGCTTCTTAACACAACAAAAAACATAATCTAGAAAGAAAAAAAGGCCAAACAATAGTACACTGTAGATTATCCAAGATGTAAAAAAAAGTATTAAGATCCATTGGCAACTGTATCTTCCTCCATCTCTTCTACAACCTCATCTGAAGGACCTAATTAACAGAAAATACAAATTCAATTTATTTCTGTCAGAGTTGTGAAACATCAAATTCTTACGAAAAGAACAGTTTGTACTGAATTAGTTTTTATTTGGAAAGATTTAAGTTCATACTAATTTAGCAACTTTCTTCACCTTACTAACAAGTTCTGATCTTTGCTCTCTCCAACTGTAAGTAAGGATACAATTACATTTTGTAGCCAAAAAATATTTAATTCTGTATTGTCTTTGTATTTCAAACAATATATTCTCAACAAGATGGCAATTTAAATTCCCCAGCCTTGAAATGTTCCATTCTATCTACACAATTACCCTAAATTGCTCTAGAAACAGTAAAAAAAACCTCCTTGTCTGTTCTTTCAAAGGAAACTTGTCAGCTATGCTTTCTAAATGTTAGAAAACTGAACATTTCTTACCAGTTTTATGGTCCCTGCCAGGTATTTGACCAGCCTGCAATAAGCCTTTCAGCCTCTCCACTTCAGCTAGAGTTGAGGCATTTGCAATGGCATTCTTAAAAAGAAATATCAACCGTCACTCATGTAAATTAACTTAAAGGCAAGGCTAATGAATATTCAAATGATTTGCTCAAAGGATAATATTTTCAGTAACAACATAGTGGTGAATTTTTAAGTAATCTCTATTTGTCAGCTGCAAAACAAAGAAAGCTGACAGGAGCAAAAGCAAGCTTACACAACTGCAAACAAACTGAGTTCTGGGGATTAGCAACAGCATGTACTTCCTTATCAAGGAGTGGTGCAGTGGCCTAGAGATGGAGTTCTTGCCTCACAATCAAGGAGGCTGAGAGTTCGATCCCAGGTAGAGGCAGATATTTCTCTCTCTGGGCACCATGAAAATATATCTGCAGATCAAAATTCCTCACTGGCAACAGGAAGGGCATCCGGCCATTAAACACTCTGCTAGCTCCATTCAGTTGTGCAGACTCCATCCCACAAGGGATTATGGGGGTCATTAAAAGATGATGATGATATACTTCCATATCAAATCTTTGGCTAGATGTGACCAGTGAGCAGCTTTTTCTTCAACATTTTTTACAGGATCTGAAAAATATTACCTTGATAGCCTCTACATCTCCTGGGGAGGGTCCGGCCTTCTTTTTGTCAGTAGGCAAACCAGCACCTGGGTTAAAACTGAAGAAAGAAATGTACGGTTCAATTTGAAAAGGTCTTCTTCATCTGCTTCTCGAACTTCCCAAGAGAAGCTCAGGGAAGCCCAGATTATCAATCAAGTGTAGTATCTTATCTTTGTTAACAAACTGATATAATCAAAGAATAGCTCTTTCAGAAACACCAGCAGGAAAGCATTCCCTAACCCCACCCTTTGAACATCGTCCTAAGCAAAATGTAAAATGCTGCGTGAAGGTTAACGCTGCCGATTTGAATTTTGAACCACCCCATTGTTGTTGACCAAAACAATCCTTGTTTCTTCTAAACTATATGAAGCAATGCAATGCTAATTAGTGACAGCTACTGCTTCTTCTTTTCTTTTTTTGCTTATTTTATTTTTCCATTTGCCTGTGGTGTTTCTGAAGAGTTTAAAGTGGTTATCCGTATCTTACGTTTTGGCTCTCCTGGCAATATCCTTTGCAAGCTGTGCACCCTGCTTGCCCTTGAACATTTTCTCTGCCTCCTGACGCTCCTACAGCAACACCACACACACAAAGTTAATGCAACAACAACAGAAACAAGGCTACTGTGCATGGCTTTTTCCC